GATTTATGATGAATTTGATGTTAAAATTATTGATGAGATTTATATGGATTGTAGTCAAATAAGTGTTGTTTATGTTAATGATTATGCTAAGATGAATCATTGTCAAATTCGTTTTTGAATCAATAAACTTTGGGAAAAATTATTTGAAGACATGTATGAAGGTTTATGGTTAAGAGAGGTGGAGATTCTATGATGAAAACTAGAATTTTTGGAAAAAAAAAATACAGTGACACTGATTGCACTAGATGAAAATCGATTGCATTAGTTGAAATTTTAAAAAGAAATAACTTTGCAATCGATTGCTTATTCCAGAAATTTGATTTTTATGAAGTCAGCAGATAAATGTGTTTTGGTGACAATCGATTATCATAGACCAAATGGTAAAAAATTCTGGTTTTGTTTGTGTTGCATTGTCTGACGATTTTGGTTGTATCTTTTAATACGTAGGTCCAAATGACGCGCCATTTGAAGCGTTAGAAAGCTAACATGCAGAGATACCTTATGATAGTGATTGGTGAAATACTTTACTTGTAGTGGTTTAACTATTGTAGGGATTTTTGTGCTTACTTGTATCATTAGTTAGTGAATCATTATGTTTATAAGATAATGTGTTGTTGTTTTGATGAAGTAACATGAATGGATGCCTATGACGTTGATTTGGGTGAGTTGCTGCTGTTTTTTTTTTTGTTTATAGAAATTGTAATATTAATTAATTATTGAGCATGATGAATGATTTGGTACATAAATGGTGAGATGTTTATGGTGAACCTTTTGGTCGTAATGCATGTTGTTGAGAGTCATGCATCATGGTGTACAAACTTCAGTCCAGTTTTGGTATGATTTGCTCTGGTGGTAAGGATTAGGAGTGAGTAGTCGATTCTATATAGGAATCAATGAAGCGTTACCTTTGGTGACGGTAATGAAGTTTGGTGTGCTCTAATCCTATGGTAGAGATCGTGAGCTAGTAGCCAGTTTCAGGTGAGAATCGGTGAAGCGTTATCTATGGTGATGGTAAAGAACTTTGGTGTGCTCTGGTCTTATAATGAGGATCGCAAGCAAGCAACTCGTTTCAGGTGGGAATCGATGAAACTATACCTATGGTGATGGTAACAATTTGGTGCGCTTTGGTCCTATGGTGCGGATCGGTAGCGAGATGAACCTGAGCGTTCATGAATGGTACTGCATGCATAATGATTTAGGTATGGAGTACATTTTCATACATGATTACACATGTAGTTGATTGTTCATGATGTTATTGATTGAATATGAATATGTAAATGGCATCATGATTTGAGTGTGAGAACATGTTATTGATTGGATATGAATATGTAAATGTTGTCATGATTTGGGCGTGAGAACATGTTGTTGACGGATGTAGAATGAGTGTGTGTTTGTTGTGCATTCTCTACCTTAGAATTCTTTACACTGTTTATATTGGTTTGTTATTTCTCACTCCTTTTATTGTGATGTTGTCCATCATAAACATCTTGCAGATACTCAGGAGTAGAGTTTGTTGTTGTAAGGGGAAGTTAGCTCATGGAGTTACTTCATTTGGTTTTCGTTATTAGAAGTCTTGCTCTAATTCTGTAACATTGGGGCCATGAATGATGTTTGATTATTATGTTTTGATGGAGTTTAAACCTTAAATTGGTCCTATGTTGGAGTTATTGAGAGTTGCTTATGAGAACTTTGGTTTTGGAAAATATTTTATTTAAGTGGAAGTTTGAGACTAAATGTCTTATTTTGATTGTTTTATTTAAATCAAAATAGGAATGATATCGGCGCAACGATATCCTAAGTGAAAGTGAGCGTGCGATGACAGATGTTGATTGACGTTAGTAATGTTTCTTCGATTGTTAAATGTTTGTATTGTTAAAGGTTTTGTTGTTGGTTACACCTTAGATTATCGTGTAACTCTTAAAATATAAGTTTCAGGGCTTAGGGTGTTACATTGCAATCATTTCCAAAAATAATTCTAGCCAATACCCTCTAAATATATCATAAATATTAGCTTTGATGTGTGAGGCTCTAGCTTTAGAGGAATTGTAACCCCTTCTTCATTACTCAAATATATCTAGACAATTTCATATTAAAACCAAGTTTGACTTGCACCATCAACAAGAGACCACCATCGATAGAACATATCCTAAAAAAATTAACAAAAGCACTTCACTCTAAAAACTGGGTTAAAAACTCTCAAGTCGACATTGGCTCAAAAAGAAATTATGATACTCAAGTCGGTAAAAAAAGAACATGAGTAGGCCAAAAACATACCAAGATATCATTTTCCAAGTAGAAAATGCCATTGCCTTCCAAACCATATGCGTTTATATATGTACCTATAAAAATAGCCTCATTTTGAGAAGAAAAAAAAACCCTCAAAAAGTGAAGGAAGATCACTAAAAGAAAGACAGAAAACCACCCACAGGCACCTAACAATATCATAACACAACGTTGCCACCACCTCATAGATAACAAATAAGTGAGAAATCGACTATAAGAGCCCACTACACAAAACCATAGGAAACACCACGAGGGTAAAAAAACACATGATGCTTAACAAGTTTATAATAGGGATCTTGTCTTAGAGGAGTTGTCAAGGAAAATAACCAATTTAAATAGGGTCCAACTACCCCAAAATAAAGATAGAATCAGATCATATATATATATATATATATATATATATATATATATATATATATATATATATATATATATATATATATATATATATATATATATATATATATATATATATATATATATATATATATATATATATATATATATATATATATATATATATATATATATATATATATATATATATATATATATATATATATATATATATATATATATATATATATATAAGGAGAAGGAAAATAATGTCCGAGAGTACAAAAACAAGTGAAGCAAAGGTACAAGAAGTATCAAGCCAAACCACTATCCCCTTAAAAGGATAATCATAACAAAGTAATAAAATACAACATAAACCAAAAATAATCTAGAGATAGAGAGAAGAAAGCCACAAGTAATAACACTAGATATCTATGAGAATATGTTAGATATCAACCTCTGAGAACGACCATCAAAAGAAACCAAAAACACCATAAAGCACCAAAAACACTTCAACAAAGTAGCTGATGAAGACTCTCGTACGACTATTAGTTCAGACAGAGAATAAGGTTAACAAGCGAATTTGAGAAAGCACATGAGATAGTCACATTCCTACATTGGAACTATTTTTAAGCGAGAAAGATGTTCTTATCTTCCACCTCACACACAGATGTAGACTTACATGTAAAGACCAAATCATTCTGGAATTTCTAAAGAAAACAAACTATTGTGTGACAAATAAATAAAAGCCCCCTCTTTTCTTAGAAACCTCTCACAAGAAAAAAAAAACAACTCAACAAGAGAATATAGATCCTTATGAAGGACTAAAGAGCATCCTAACCATCTAAAAATTCTATACTACAAAGAGGTTGTCAACTCACCACTAAAAAACAAATGAGAACACAATTTACCCCCGCCTTACATATAGAACACCACACACTCTCAACATCCACATTAACCTTACACTTAAAAATATTAGCCCTCGCAGAAATCTTATTCTGCAAGAGTTTTCATGAAAACACCAATATCTTAAAAGGAGCTCAACTATCCCAAAATTAGTGATAAAGTGAATCCACTATCGAGGAATGGTAGCTGGATAATTAACAAGAGAAGAAGAAGTCGATGAAACTAAAAACGCTCCATCTTTAGCATGACTCAACCACCACGAGTCAGGATGTTGGGGTAGAATCAAATCTTGAATAAAAATAAAAAAGTTATTGTCCATCTCCTGCTCACACACAAAAAGAGACCTCCCTCATCTGAGGTTCTAATGAAGCACCCCAATCACCAGGGTTCCAATCTCGACAACAAACTTACCAATTTGGCTGTAAACACTATAAAACCTCATAAACCTAACACTAAGAAGAGTAAACCCCACCCAACGGTCGTCCCAAAAGAATATTTAAAGACCATTACTCACTCTCATACGAAAGTCCTCTGAACACTAATAAAAAAATGACCATCTATTTTAAAACACATCAAAGACACATCTCTCCACCAGATAGAAAATGGTCGAGAATAGAAGACTCAACTTAAGGGATCGAGTAGCATCCTTCCTTTCCACCGGAACCACCTAAATGATATACCACAATGTCGCACCACTTCACATATAAATTTCTATATTTATTTCAACTTTTTACTTTAAGTAGAAGAAACTAAACTAAAAAATTATGACTAACATATACTTAATCCATCTCACAAATATATTTACATTTAGTGCCAAACACCATCAAATAAGATTAAATATGAGAAATGGGTGTAAATGATGCCAAAATGGATATTGATGCAACAACCGCAACATTCTTAAGGTAAAAATACCATATATAAGAGTTAGAGAAGTCATAAGAGCACCCTTACCCTTTGGTATAGGAATGAAACAATAAATGGGTAATACAAGTGTATTATCACGCAGTATGAGTTGTAATCCTTTAAACCACTTAGTGGGTGACACATCATAAAGAATCATGGTGGCCCCAACTAAAATTTTGTGTATGTATACTAGAAATAGCAATAGTTACTTCGTGAGAGGGGGTGTATATGTTGAAATGGTTAAAACCAAATAAGGTAAAAGATTGCAATATGGTAAGAAAAGTATTTGGATAGTGTGTTAAAAGTGAGAAACGTTGGAGATAATGAAGGAACAACTAGTGTATATACTTTAAGTGCATTTTCTTTTGCAACTTGACCTAGCTCAACTAATACAAACTTTCTAGCACTATAAATACACTCATATTATATGCATATCGACTCGTGGAGTTTAGAGAGAGAAACAAAGAGATACCTTCAACTAAGGGTTTTCATCACTTTGAGAAAGAAAGAGAGTGACACTTATTCTTAAATTATTCCAAAGTTTTCAATAGTTTTTTACTTAGATTCAAGAAATGGCCATGCATCGTGAAACTTGGGCTTTTGTCTTTGGCCTTCTAGGTAGATACTATAGAAATATATAGATATACCTATAGCCATAATCCATGCATATTCATCATACTTTTATTTTTCTCATTCTTCATTAATATAACTATATATGATTCTTGGAACTATGCATCAAAATTTTCTCATTCTAGGGTTTAAGTTTTTATCAACTATATATACATATATAGGTTACATGCAGATTGCATGGTGATAGAGAATATTTTTCATTTGAACCCTAATATTAATTTTTTGTCGTTTTATTGTCGTTTTTTCAGGCAACATCATTTCCTTTGCAGTGTTTCTTTCACCTGTGTAAGTAATCATTTTTGTTTGTTTGTATTTAATTAGTCAAAGCTTTGTGTTATCAATTTTTTGGACTTATATATATTTTTTGCTTGCAGGCCAACTTTTTACATAATCTTCAAGAAAAAATCTGCTGAAGGATTTCAGTCACTTCCTTATGTTGTCGCACTTTTCAGTGCAATGCTTTGGATTTACTATGCAATTGTGAAAAGAGAAGCTGCTCTTCTTCTCATCACCATTAACACTTTTGGAATTGTTGTTGAATCAGCTTATCTCATAATCTTCCTCATTTATGCCTCAAAGAAATCTAGGGTATTTTTTTTAATTAACCTCATAATTATTATTTAAAAAAAACTTTACTATAAAATTTAAATTGTTATAATTGATTTTTATTTTCTTATAGCTTTCTACTGTAAAACTACTTCTCTTGCTGAATGTGTTCGGATTCGGAGCCATGCTTCTATCAACTCTTTACCTCGCCAAGGGAGCGAAGCGTCTTGCTATTATCGGATGGATTTGTCTTGTTTTCAACATAAGTGTTTTCGCTGCACCACTCTTCGTCATCGTAAGAATTCGAAGTTATAAAATTACTTTTTCCTATATAATAAAATTGTAGGGCATTAAATTAAATCTTGATGATCATTTTGTGCAGAGCAAAGTCATAAGGACGAGGAGCGTCGAATACATGCCATTTTTCTTGTCCTTCTTTTTAACCATCAATGCTGTTATGTGGTTCTTCTATGGCCTTCTCCTCAAGGATTACTATGTTGCTGTAAGTTCATTATTTTTAATTAATTTTTCATTTTTGGAAAAATTTCAGTTAACTTTATATTTGATAATGTTGAAATATACTTTTAGAAAAATATACTAAATATTTTTGTGCTCCATTCATATGGAGTTTCCATGAAAAGAAATTTTTGAGTGCTATCTGGACCCCCCCTCTAACCCCAATAATTTAATTAGAAGACTTTACACATAGGAAAAGCTAAGTTATAAATTAATTGATTCTTTTCTTCTTTTGATTAAACAAAGGTATTTAATTTATTTTTTTTATTAAATAAGTTATTATTAGTATTTCATTAATGTTTGTATTTTTTTATGATGCAGCTACCAAATACACTTGGATTTGTGTTTGGCATAATTCAGATGGTGATATATTTGATATATAGAAATGCAACACCAGTGCTTCAGGCACCATTGAAGGGCCAAGAATTGAGTGGTGGCCATATCATTGATGTTGTGAAGACTGGATCTGAACACAATCCTGCAGGTGGAGGAGGTGCGGTTAGCAAATTCTGATTAAGGGATCCATGACCAGGAAAATAATAAAAAATTGAAGAAAAAAATACTTAACCTAAACTTTCAATTTCATATAATATTGTAAAATGCAAGAAGGGTGTTTAGCTTCTTGTATAAGTGTTTAGTTTTTATTATCATTATTATGATTATTAATTAATGTAAAGGTGTGGTTTTAATTTGGTGTAATTGGCAATGGCTATGAAAGCAATTATATAACAATATATTCCTAAGCTTTGGCCATATATTATAACTCTAATAATTAATGTACTATACTACTTCAATGGTCTAAATAATTTCATGTTCACTTTTCCTTGTATGATCAATGTTCCAATATTAATGAAAATGAATTGTTTAAATAAATTTTTTGTTTAGTTCTATATTTAATGATATAATTGATTGCTACACCTTTATAATTTAATTTTATAATTTAATTTTATAATTTGATTTTATAGTATAATCATTGATGTATTAATGACAATTTATAACTACGACAATTAGTATAAGGTAGCGTGATTCGTCTTTGAATCCTCCAACTTATTCAAATAACTAAAATAAATTATGTGAGAAAAATAATAATATAAAAAAATTATGTTCTAAATTAAAATAAAACTTACAATTTATAAATAAATAAATAAATAAAATTTTAAATTTTAACTCTTAGATATATTTTATTTATGTTTATAAGATTCAATTGAACCGTTTTAAATAGCTGGACTTCATCCCTTAAGTCGAGCTAGCTAGGTCTAAAATTATTTAGAAAACTGTATTTTCTAAGTTGTTTTACTTATGTTTGAATTTGAATATGAGAGAATCGAATTTCTTTGAAATTCTAAAAACAAATTAACAAACTATAATTAGTATTTTTCTAATATCACATAAAAATTAAATGTCAATTATGCTATAGTGATCAAATCATGTATAGTTTAATGTTAAGGAAAAGCAAATCCATGATATGAATTATGTGAAGGGATGGGTTCACTTTTCTTTTTAATGTGTCATATACAAGGGGACAGATAAGCCCTCCCTAAAAGTGCTTCAATTTAAAATCAATTAATGTTCATTTTGATAACGGCATCGTTCTAATTACAAGACAAAAATACCAGACACTAAATATGATTAAAGGATACTAATCTAATCTAGTCAAATTCCATTCCATCACAAAAGGGAGAGTGTTAAGATAATGCAATATCCAATAATTAGAAATTATTTTTTTTTATAAGCAATTAATAAACTAGCACAGGGTGCTTTAAGAAAAACAACCGATCAAAGCGGGAATAACAGCAAACCACCAAAAACTATCCAATACAAGTATCCGAATTGACACATCAATCCGACAATAACTTATTTGTTACTATATTGTTAAGCGAAAGAAGTCATTTTCAAATTAAAAGCTGAATCACATCCATTCCATCGAAATTGATTAACAACCCTCCTTTAAAGAGTATTGAAATTTCGACACGCTCAAACTAATCAACATAAAGCTAGTCCAAATAACCACCATATGTCAATTACAAAAGAAGACTTACAAGACATCTTCAACACTTGCAAACGATTAATAATAGAACCTATGGGGTTTGAACAGTCAACACGATGCCAATCACAAATCTTACCCCACCAAAGCTTAGAAACGGGACACTCACCAAAGAGATGATCCAAATTCTCCTTTTCTCCAAAAAAAACAAAGTTATGGGAACCCACTAAAACTCCCCGCCTCTCCAGCTCCATCCTGGTTGGGAGCCTATTTGAAATCAACCTCCAACCAAAAATTAACACTTTACTTGAAACTTTCTTCTTCCACATGTTTTTCAATGTAATAGAACAATGAGCATCCACCACCCAATTGCGATTATCAGCTTCCAAAATCCTCTCATAAGTCGCTTTTACAGAGAAATCTTTGGAATTTCTCCACCAAACAAACCGATCTAACTCATTTACGACAAGATGGATAGGCTAAAAAATCAACAACAACTCAGACAGCTTGAAAGTAACCGATGTCGGGAGATTGTTGCCCTAAAAACCCAACTGCCACATCCACCAATCAGTAGCCCAAAAACCAAAATCTAGAATTTTCGATCTATCCTCCACTGCAAGCTGAAACAGAGTGGAGAGCAGCCTGCACAACGGTAGCACACCCAACCAATGATTACACCAAAAGGCAATACACTCACCATCTCCAGGCTTACACGCAATTGAAGAAATAAACCAACTTTCATGATTTTCTGCTACCACCGATCCAACCGCACAAATTTCTTTCTGAGACAGCCTATGTCCCATTAGTGGAATTCTAATGAAACCTTATAAAAATACAGAAAAATTTGAAATTTTTAAAGGACAATACTTAATTATTTAAAAACATACTGTTTCACATACATATGCTTCAAATATATTTTACAGAGTTTGACACCGTTAAGACTAGCGGCCTTGCCACATAGATAAAACATAAAATAAAAGTACAGAAAGGAAACCAAAAAGAAAGCATACCAAAAGGGACCTCCTAAGTCCAACAAGACTGACACTTATACTGACTGTAGTAGTAGGGATGTGATTAGCGTTTGACAAAACACTAACAGCTCCCAATCTAGATGTTATAGTAACACATCTCCACGTCACTTCATATCCTTTCCTTCTGAGTTGTCGGGAAGTACGCAAGATTCGAGCTCATCGTCTGATCGTCATAAAATAATCCAAAATGCAAAACAAAAATGACACAGGGCTAAGATTCATGTACAAGTTTAAAAGTGGGAATGAATGTGTAAAATAATAATATATATGGAAACCATATTTATACAAACAAGCGTATCTTATACCCACAATTACATATACTTTATTTATTCTAATGCATCCCTGAACTATATGCTGACTCAGGCCACTAAACGCTGTCAATGATATCTATCCCATTTACCAAGATCAGATATCACTAGACCACATGCCACCAACGTACTCCCAATTACCAAGAGCTACGCCACCTAACTTCACATGGAGCCTAGGTGTTATAAGTCGATCGTCCCTGAGAATTCAGGCCAAGAACCTTGTCTTGCCTAGCATGCATAGATAATAATCCCCGTCGGGATTGCAGGCGACTGATCAACCTCGTGCGTCCCATACCGCACGGCGGTGGACTTACACATTCCTTAATGCAAGTCTATATGATCACTCACTCATCTTGTGGCAACTCTTAGCCATAAGTATTAAGTTAATAATGGGGAATTATCGTATCAACTTTTCAAGTTATACTTATTATCTAGATACTTAGGTTGAGTACCAAATCCATCCAATGTCTTGCCATATTTGATCTTTGTCCTTACATAATAAGTTCAGTTTGTATAATGGGTAATTGTATGGTTAACTTCCCAGGTAAGAGAGGTGGACTGTAAACGGCATAGTCGACCAAGTCTTTCCTTAGCCAGAACCCAACCAAATATAACTACTCATTGTATCCAACTTTCCTTATGTTAATGGGGATCAATTACTTAATATCTAGCAATGTTTTTCTCTCATTAACCGATTATTTCCTTAATCTATCAATCACAATCATTCAAGTATAAATAAAATAAACAATTATAAAATTAACCGAATAATGCAAGCACAATACAATACCAAATTGTCAAAGATTATTCCTATGATAATTAATTAAGGCCGGCGTAACCTCGCCTAGTGATTTGTGAAAATCATTATTTGAGAATAGGCTCTCCTTAATTATTTATCGCTAGTAGGGCTTAGGTCACCACTACACACATATATATTAAGTTATTTTACGCTAACCGTCCCAATCGTATACGAAATCTTGCCCCCACCTTTTGTTGAGTGTTGTTGAAAGTCCACAAGTGTTGTCTTCGATCTTTGCCAAGAACCTAATTTACGATAACCGTTGGATTGTACGAAATTTATGAAATAATTAGAATATAATTTATGGTTAATTGAACATAATCCCGTTATAACTTGAAATATTTATTTATTTAAATATATCATAATAACCTCCAAAATAATTATTAAATTCAAATATAAATTATATTATACCTCCTTTTGAATTTGTTTGTTTTAGAAAATTGTCAAGAGTATATTTCTAATAACATTTAAATTATAATAAAATTTGGGCATTATAACGACTTAAAATGGTAAAATTTATTTTGGACTTTATAAGTTCAATATATCGACGTCTGAACGGAATTTGCATAGAAAATTTAAAATAACCTTTATATAAATAACATAATTAAAATAATATAATTAAAATAAAATGGACATTATAACGGCTTACCGATTACTTATGAAAATGATTTGGGCAGAACTTTGACGTATAAAACTCCCTTGAAACTTTAGAAGAACTTTTACCACAAAATACTCTAAAGGTTACGAACCGATATCGTGGGAACTTCGATAACTAAAACTAATATTGCTATATGAAGAAATTAGAGAAGGAAAGAAGTAAAGAAGTAAGAAAGATGATTTGTGAATGAATGAATGAAAATGGGGTGGAAGAGACCCCTATTTATACTAGTTGTAAAATATTAAAATAACATAATTTATCATCTTTTGCCCATACCTTCCAACTTTTCAACTCTTGCTAGTAAATATGTCTCTATCAAATATTTACTAATCTTTCATCAATAGTGCTTTAGGTGTTCTAGTATGACTTTGTGAAAATAATTTATGACAAAGGTATGGGAGCTTGATTTCATGACATAATATTATGTAGGATATTAATAGAAAATGAGATATATATTTCTTTTATAAAAAGTAAAATGTTAATAATATTAATAATAATAAAAATAGTAAAAAGGATAGTTATTTGATATTTTTATTGTCTTAAGATTATTTTATTTATTAATTGGTTTATAGAGTAAAATGATAATATTCAAATAAAATAAAATCAATTAATAATAACAAAACAAGAACAACAATAATGATAATAATAATATGAATAATTAATTAACTTAAAGTTAAGGGTTTTAAGTACCAATTTAAATTTCAAAGTTTAGTTTATAAAATGAAACGATGATATT